AGCCTCACAGACATCTGGCTTCAGCTGGAGGAGATAAATCATATTCCAGGTCTCACACACGCACACACACACACACACACACACACACACACAGACACACATACTCTCAAGCACACGCGCACACACACACACACACACACACACACACACCTACACACACACACACACACACACACACACACACACACACACACACACACACACACACACACACACAGCAATTTTCTATCATTCCTCTAACACACTCACCACACGGCCGCCGTCCAGGCAGGAATCTGTGCTGTTTCTCACCACCTTCCCCCATCACGTAGCTCCAGTGTGAAATGAGAAACAGGATTTCAGATGTAGGTTCATTACTTGGTTAGCAAAGATTCTGTAAATTATTTTTCAACCACTGAGTATTTAAAGTCTGAATCTGTTTCCTTTAACTTTAAAACTTCTTGGCCTTAAACTGTTTCCCTTCTTCCTGCATTACAACCAAAAACTTCAATGTATTTGAATATCGTTGTTGGTAAAAATAACCCCAACAGTGTCAGTTTTATTAATACAGCATGTTAAAAAACAGCTGATCAAAGTGCTGCGCAAGATCAATAAGCATTGGAAATGAAAAGGTAAGATTAAATAAAATAGAATAAGACACAGTTAAAGAAATAAAGGAAACAAAATGAAAAATAAAAACAGCTTAACAAGCAAACAACACAACATAGAAGACCAAATAATGAAGTCAAGCTGCAGTGTGAGCATGAGGCTTCAGTTGGACCAAAGCCACACTGACATCTGGCTGGATCAGCTCAGTGCTGCTGATGGGACACATGGCTCAAACTGCTTAGTTTGAAAAGTGTGTGTTGAAACATTTCAAACAATCAGTTTAATTTATATAGATATAGATTTTCAGTTTTAAAGGACGAATGTCACAGCAAGAGAAACTCGTCTTTAGTCGCCTTAATTAATCCTCACAAGACTGAATAAGAATCAATCCTCCAGCTGTAACTGATCCACAACGCTGCTGCTGGAGGTCTGACTAAAACCAGGAAGATAGA